CTGCTGGCGGTACTCAGGCAAGGGCCCACCGTGCCCCACTGGCAGAGTAGGAACTTTGTTTCTGTCACCAATTTCACGCCCCTGTGTCCTCAGCAACACTGCACTTCCCCTCTAGTTGGTTCTCGCTTAGTAACTCTCAGCAGAATTGCAGCGGAATTGCGCATTGTTTCACGAAGCGGTGGGATCGCTGCTAGGTTATTAGCGTCAGTGACGCTTTGCTGTTTGCTTAAAAAGCAAGCGGCACTTTCCCCATCTTGCAACGACTTTTAAACGGATCCTGTGGAAATAGTTGTTTGTCCTGCCCAGTTTGATGCAGGACTGATGCTTCATCCTGGGGCTGTAGACACAGACAGCCCAGAAAAACACACACGGTGTTTCTTGGTTTTGTTTTCTGTTGTGTACTTCATGCACTTCCTATCTGGCTCTCTTAACTTCTGGTTGTGTAGGACTAAGAAAAAAAAAATATTGGCTTTCCTCAGTTCTTTTTAGTCAGTGGTGCTGTACGCTGGGAAGCCAGACCTGCAGATATATTTGTAGGGAGCCAAGTGTTTCCGTTCCATGTTAAACACCCAGCACCAAGAGTGGAAGTTGCATACCTGTCAGCTGCTTCCCTGTCATATATGGTCAAGGATAAATTGGAATTGGGGAATGGAGTTCCCAGTAGCTCTGTACCATACAAGCGATGGAGAGAGGTGCTGAACCAAATATTAAATTTCCCTCCTCTCCACTGCATTTTCTGCTTTTGTCACAACTAGATTTCAGTGGGAGAATGGCATTGAATATTTATGCATTTTGCAGTATCCTTCTGCTGTTCAAGTATCTCTGTTCTTCAGAGATCTGGTGTCCCTGGTGTCTCTCCCTGGTGCTGGATGTGCATCCATCCACAGCCCAGTCAGCTGTCCTTTCGGGATGCTTGCTCTGCTTGCCTGTCCCTCCGCCAGCCTTGCTCAGCTCACTGATTCAGCAGAAGACTAATCACCTTTGTGATGGATTGGTTACTGGGTTAACTGTTGATTCCTGTAGAGGTTTTTCAGACTTTTAGATCTAATGCAGAGTTAGTAGCAGGAAAGTGGAGTCAGAGAAATGAAAGAGCCAAAGAAAAATAAACGCATGGTTTGTGACAACAGTGCTATCAGATCAATTTATGTGGTCATCTGTAGAATCAGTCTAAATAACTGGGCATTTTAGCAGTGCATTGTGTATCTTTTAAACAATTGAAAATGCTGTGTTTTAACACACTAATTTAAACTGATTTTTGGAATACATTTTATAATTTCTTAAAATGTTATTATCTTCCTTTCTTTCAGGCTGAAAGTGGCCCATTCTAAGGGGTGACCACCTTTCATATATTTAACAATCATCTGTTTAGAAAATTTCCTTCATTGTTCATGGTAAGGCTTGTATTTGATATTTCACATTTAGTTTATTATGTTGACACATTTAGAGTATTTCTGACACATTTTTTAGTATTAACATTTCCTTTAGCTATAGAGTGACTTCTGCAGTTGGGTCATACATTTACTGGGAACTGCAACTTCACAGAGAGAGTTTCCAATTTTGGATGACTGAATCAATAAATATTTGAATAAATTAATATCTATATACAAAATTAAATAATCTGAAAGGCTTTTTCTGGTCATATTAAGTAAAAATTAAAAAAAAATTCTTTTAGTGTGAAAATGACATCAGCTGCTGGGATTATGATTTAGACTACTTAATAAAAATTACAAATTTTTATTATTCCCTTGTTATTTTACAGGAGTTTTTCATCAGTATGTCTGAAACCATTAAATATAATGATGATGATCACAAAACTGTGTTCCTGAAAACATTAAATGAACAACGTTTGGAAGGAGAATTTTGTGACATAGCTATTGTGGTTGAAGATGTTAAATTCAGAGCACACAGGTGCGTGCTGGCTGCCTGCAGTACCTATTTCAAAAAGCTTTTCAAAAAACTGGAAGTTGATAGTTCATCAGTAATAGAAATAGATTTTCTCCGTTCTGATATTTTTGAGGAAGTTCTCAATTACATGTACACTGCAAAGATTTCTGTTAAGAAGGAGGATGTAAATTTGATGATGTCGTCAGGCCAGATTCTTGGTATTCGATTTCTGGATAAACTCTGCTCTCAAAAACGTGATGTATCTAGTCCCGAAGAAAACACACAGTCCAAGAGCAAGTACTGTCTAAAAATAAACCGTCCTATGGGGGAACCGAATGATACCCAGGATGATGAGGTGGAAGAAATTGGAGATCATGATGACAGTCCCTCAGATGTGACGGTGGAAGGAACTCCGCCAAGTCAGGAAGATGGAAAATCACCTACCACTACCCTGAGAGTGCAAGAGGCGATTCTGAAAGAGTTGGGAAGTGAAGAGGTTCGGAAAGTAAACTGCTATGGCCAAGAAGTAGAGCCTATGGAAACAACCGAATCAAAAGACTTAGGATCTCAGACCCCTCAGGCTCTGACGTTTAACGATGGCATAAGTGAAGTGAAAGATGAACAGACACCGGGCTGGACCACAGCAGCTGGGGATATGAAGTTTGAGTACTTGCTTTACGGTCACAGGGAACATATTGTATGTCAGGCTTGTGGTAAGACATTTTCTGATGAAGCACGATTGAGAAAACATGAAAAGCTCCACACTGCTGATAGACCCTTTGTTTGTGAAATGTGTACAAAGGGCTTTACCACACAAGCTCATTTGAAAGAGCACCTGAAAATACACACAGGTTACAAGCCTTACAGTTGCGAGGTGTGTGGAAAGTCTTTTATTCGTGCTCCGGATCTAAAAAAGCACGAGAGAGTTCACAGTAATGAGAGGCCATTTGCATGCCATATGTGTGATAAAGCTTTCAAGCACAAGTCCCATCTCAAAGACCATGAAAGAAGACACCGAGGGGAGAAGCCTTTTGTCTGCAGTTCCTGCACTAAAGCATTTGCTAAAGCATCTGATCTAAAAAGGCACGAGAACAATATGCACAGTGAAAGAAAACAAGTTACTGCAGCCAATTCCATCCAAAGTGAAACAGAACAGTTACAGGCAGCAGCTATGGCTGCGGAAGCAGAGCAGCAATTAGAAACTATAGCTTGTAGTTGAAAACTAAACCAGAAACTTTCTTGGTAATAATATAAGAAATGAAATTGAACAAAGTCTGTTGTTGGTCTATGTTTAGACTGAAAATTATCTTTTCAAGAAAACATATTTTTAGAGGATTTGAATGCTACATAGGAACACATAGCATTGCTTGGTTAGGTATTTTAAAGCATTTCAGAGATGGGTTTTCTTAGAATATGAAATAGTTTTATTGTCATTAGCAGTATAATGCACTAATACCTGATTTAATTTGAGAAGATGATCAAGTTCTCTATAAAGCAAGGATCATCACTGGCTGATGTTTTGTTTCATCCAGTGTGGAATACTGCATATGATGTAAACATCAAAATCAGTGAGTTCTGTTTAAAAGCGCTGAGATCTGAGAAAATAACAACCATGGAAAGAAAATACTTGTTTTTCATAATTTTGGAAGTGTTATACCTACAATTTTTGAGAAAGAGACGTTGATTCCCTAAGTTTTTTAATTCCTCCTTTTTTTTTTTTACCTAATGTAGGTGCTAGAGGTTGGTACAACAGAGTGTAAGAGGGGACGGCAATCAAAATGAAATTGCTTCTTATTGCATTCCATCAGATATCCTCTTATTTTAATCAAGGTGGCAAGTTTATTGAAGTATTCGCTTTCCTGAAAAAACTGCATTATTTGCAGTGGTCCTGGCTGGCAAAGCAGAAGGGTTGTGGCATTCACCAGTCCCTTCTGTGGGGG